GGTTCTGAAAGCCTCGAAAGGAAGGAAAGAAGAAAAGGCAGTAGGAGTCCTCCTTATAAAGTAAGACATACTCATTCGTCACACCAAACCATACGTGGGAAATTGCACCAAACGTTGTCTGATGGGGGGGAGCCGTGGCATCAAAAAATTCCTAAGTCAACCATACTGCGTGGGGCTATGGGTGGGTAAGTTAATCCGCAGAAAGTCAGGTCCTGCACTGGTTTTCGCACAAAAGAGTCCACGGGTTGACCAGCTGAGACAAAACGAGCCGTCGGGCCAGTGAAAACTCTTTGTGGCGCATTTTGTGGTAACGGGTCACGAATCAGTCAGGCCCAAGGGTTTCTCTAAGGCACTCGAACGGTCTAGAGAACCTACTGGTATCTGGCTGATGGCTCACAGTTATTTGCTAGTAGGCAGTGCTTGAGAATGTCGCGAAAAACGACAAGTGTAGGCGGATGTTTAGAAACTCATCGGTAGGTTAGACCCGGTCTTTCGTTCCTCCCGGAGGATCCCCCACAATAGTTTCCAAAACACTTAATTCCTACTGGCTCATTCTAAGGAGGAGAGCGCTTGTTTGCGTTCACCTGTTCTCGTTTCCATAAGAATACCTCTTGAGCAAGCCGAGCCGCCCTGCAGAGAATAAGGGGCGAGTGACCCCTAGTGATCCCAATTTCATAATCGGCCAATTACTGATCATATACCCCATTCCCCTCCCCTGTTGGCCGCACGAAAAGCCTTTCGTTATCGCCAACTCGATCTGAAAGGTTGACTACAAACCAACAGGCCGCAGCGACAAAGAAGTGTGGAGAACGCGATGGGCCAGCCTTGATCCCCCGCTTTCTCGAGTCGCCCAAAGAGGATTTCCGCTATCCCTTTGAGCAGTACTGTACTCGAGTACCGGTATGAGACAGTAAGATTCATTGCCGGGCGGTCCAACTTAAGCCACAAATGGAACGAATTTAGCTTTGCGATTCGCTAAAAATTGAAAAGTTCCAAATGTACCAGGTCGGTTAGTAAGAGAAAAGGCACGTTTCGCTGCCAACATTTCTTCAATAGTTATTAGTTTCTTTTTTGGTCCGGGTAGTACCGAATCCAATGTCTCACACCGCCCAAGGGAGGCATTTCCAACTAACATCCTGGATGTCGTTTGCAGCTGTCAAGGATCAAAAGAAAAAGCCTGGCGAGCCCCTGACGTGCGAAAGGGCCCGCGATGCCGCCAACTGCACCGGACCCTACTCGTACTCAAGTGCAGTCTTTAGTGACCCCCCATCGTGTCCACGACGAAACTGGGCTGGTGGCGAATAGGGGTACTCGAGTACTGTACGAGTACTAGTGCGTTATTCGGTGGGCAAAAAGGGATATGCCCAAAGCAGAGCAATAAAAATTACCGGTACTCGAGTACAGTACTTGTTAGCGATCCCTTTTCGTCACCACCCCAGTTTCACCATGGGGATAATAAGGTTGAGACTGTGCTCAAGTACCGGTACTGGTGTACTGTACTGGTATGGTGCCGTACCTTTTTGTACAGTACCAGTACAAAAATCGGATTAGAGTTGAAGCCAGCCGAGCCAACAAGAGGGCAATACGCCTCCCAAATCGCCACACTTTAAACAAATAGCTAAAGACAATTGAGCAGATCCCCTAGTTTCTCTAAGAGTGAATTCGGCTTTCACGAAAAGATATTATGGTATTGTATCTGTACCATACCCGTACTTGCAGTCGAGTACTGGTGCCAAGCTACAGTAAACCCTCCGCTGGCGGGGTAAGACGAAAATGGGGCGTGAAGAACAGGAATCAACAAGGTTTCCTATTTACCCTCCTTTGACGATTTCCCCTTTTGTCCACCAAATGCCCCTGCTCGCCACCCGGCCACTCGTTGAAGAGCACAGTACCGTACCGTACTAGTACAGTACGAGTACTTGAGCACCGGTGTCTATTTTAGAGTCGCTCGGCTAGTTCCAGACCAGAGAGCCTGAACCCTGCCCAAAGACCGGGATTAAAGAAACACTGCATGGCCGAACTAACCGTGCCCAGTGGTTCACCGTCAAGGGTCCGTCCCTTGAAAGTTTCCTCGGTCGCACTACATAGGGGGAATCCTACTTTTAGAACCAGTGGCAGCTTGATACCCCTTATATTTGCTATCGATAGTTGTGCGGATTCGGAGTTTGGTATTAACCTCGGGAGAAAGCAGCGGAGCTCGCCGACCCGGAATAGAGAGAAAAAAATCCTTAATTTACCGTACCAGTACACTTCTGACAGGCACACGAACTGCGCTCCTGGAAGTGCGAAGGGAGCCTAAAGTGCAGCATTTCAGCGCTCGTGGGACGATCCCAGCCGGGTCAGAGGAATCGTTCGAGGAATTGCATCGGGGGTTAAGGGTGAGTGAGGCGAACCCACTCAGACTGGCTTCTGAGTCTATCGGTCAATATCGCGAAGTTGATATGGCTAGGGCGCAGTGCAGTGGCAATTGTGCGATCGATACTGTAGGTACCATATATTGGTCACGTGAATCTGATAAGAGGAAGATTTGATGAAAAGTTCGTCCCAACTTGCTCTGATGGAACACGTGACAAATATACCTATTCGCCGCACCCATGGAAAGCCCACCTAACCTTTCCCCACTCTCACAGAACGCGCTAGTCGTTGGCTTCGATAGAGAGCATCGGCCGGGGCAACCTGCTATCACGCTAGCCAGCTCCGCCCATTCACATCCATGAGACCAAGCAAGCGAGTGATATCGTGTGAATAATGTGTTGAGTGGACCTTCAGGCAGGGATTGTAAAGGAGAAAAGATTTAACTCGTTGACTGAGAGTCCATATTTCTCACACAGACACCGTTACAACTCCTCTGCTCGAGTACAAGTGCTCGTACCCTCAGCCGAAGTGAGACATACCCTGATGCGGGGGAGACAAGGCTGCGATTCGCTTGGACATATTGCGGCGAATGTGGTTCGTACTCATAAGAGTACTTTCTCTTTGAAGTACAGTAAGCCAACAGGCGTTTCGCATATCGGCCACTCTACTCGAGCACGCACCATCCGCGTAGAGTGCACTCCGAAAGCGAGGGACAGCTGTCGTTTTAGGGAATGTGGAGGGGTGTGTTGTTGATCCGTACACCACTACCGGTAGAGGATTCATGCCATCATATCTTGATACTGTCGTCCTGTTCCATTCTATTCGAGGTGCCTAACATCGAGGCCTGAAATGCCTCAATCGCCAAAATTGGGGGGGATGCAAGGCGAATACCGGATTCCAAGAAAGTTAACGTAGCGCCTGTCGGTATTATGTGGTGTTCATCCTTTGGGAGTCGTGTTCGGTACCGATTAATGCCACATAATTCACGGGCGGTGTGCTTGCGATCCATAGAGATATATATGCGTGTTGATTTGCCGCTGGCATCCCAACACCTATATGGTACTCGCGGACTGGAGACGGCAACAATAGGTAAGGAGTTGCTCCGTAGCGGAGCCGGAAAAAGTCTGCGCTGGAGTTGGCCGGTTAAATTGGAGAGCATCATCTTCCTTCACTTGTCAAAAAAAAAACATGGAACCTGGAAAGTTGAACAAGGGTGTGCGCAGTCCGGCTCAAGTGCTCTAGAGTTCTGGGGGCAGTGAGATTTCTTGATTCCTCAACCGCCCCCAGCAATTGGCTCATGGTACCAATGACCTAAAGTTCCCCCGCCCCCCTATCTAGTTGAAATCCTACGGTACGGTATTTGTACGAGTGATACTGGACAGTGGAGGGTATTTTGTGTCACAGATGTTTTATTGCAGGTCACAGGGCTTAACGTAGGCTTAGATGTGGTGACTGTCGTCTGTAGTTAATGTCTTGCATGCTATCATACTCGAGTATGATACGAGCACCGGTATTTTGTGTCTGGCGATGGTCCCCCCCTTTTTTTGGCCACAAACCAACCCCTCCTACCATCCATCGATCCATTACCGTACTCCTACCACCACAAACAACATGCGACGGAAGGCCAGATACTCGTACAACCCAACACAAGACTGTCTCCTGGTTGCACATCTTTTGTGGCAGGAAAGTTACTTGTACAAGTAGAACTATTGTCCTTGTGGCATCCCCCCCCGAGGATGATTTAGTATCCTGGAAATTTCGAAGCTCTCCCTCCTTGTCCTCTTTGTTTCTCTCTACGTCTTTTTGTTCCTTAGGTTCCTATCCCCCCTTTTTTCTTACTTGCAGTGGGGTTTGGACTGGGTTTGCCTTGTAGGGCTATCAGCGGTGGTTTGCTTTTCTACTGTGCGACAGAGGACTAATTGGAGCTGTCGTACCAACCCCCTCCTAACCGCCTCAGAATGGTCTAGTGAGGCACAGCACCCGGGTTGAGGGTAAGAGACGGGGGTGCGATATTGGCAGCTGTGGCGGGAGGAGCAGAGTCTGTACCGCCTCTTTCCACCTTGAAAAAACAAAAGGTGACCCTTCGCCTAGTTACACCCACCAAACCTCGGCCAGTACTGGTACGAGTGCAAACTGGGACCGCCTTACCTGTGCTCACTCCCCAGGTGCCCGCTGCATATTGTCATAGGGGACAAGAAGCTTGGTAGAATTAGCCCAACCTGTCGCTGAGACTTTGGTCACCCTCGCTACAGGAGCAGATCAGCACAACAGGATGGCCACATCCAACGATCCTCGCTGGTAAAAAAAATATCATAGCCTATTAGATTCCCGGCAAAGGCGAGTGAGTACTGTCTGACTGGACCGGAATTAACACATATTGGGTCGGGGATAGCTAATTTGATCAGTGGATACGGTACGGTATTATTTATATCTAGAACGTTAAGGCAAAAGACCGCGAATGTCTGAATGTCTACGCGGGTCAAAGGGAGTCCATGCAAGCCTCCGACAGCGTGCAACCCAAACCCAATAGCCAACCATCACCTCGGCTCCCCAACTCCCGTCGATGACCCAATACCGTAGATCAACCTTACCTTGATCTGGCTTTCTACTCCATCCATTTATTTGCGCAGCCCCCCTCTCCAGAAAAAATACTCCACATCAAATCAGATATGTCCTCTATAAAAAATAAACTTCACGGCATCATCGCCGACGTGCGGGAAGCGAAGGTCGCAGCGCAAAGTCACAACGTAGGATCCTATCATGCTCCCCCCGCTAGTAATATGCACAGCGAGCAGCACTTCCCTCCGCCTCCACCGAGGAGCTTGCCCCACGGGTGGACCGCAAGGTTCGATGAGAAGGAGGGGAAGTTCGCCTATTGTATGGGAGTCGACGGGGTTGAGCAGTGGGAATTTCGTACGTACCGTATCCGCCTACCAAGGCTTATCCAGGTGGAAAATTCTGACGTGCAGAGTTGGACGTAGCGGCGGAGGCCAAGGTTGGGGAAGCGGGGGGTGGGAGCGGGGCCCCGATATGCTCCACGGTCGCTGTGCCGGGGACCGCGGCCGCTGGGATTGTTGGAACCGAGGCTGGCACCGGTCTGACCGCTGAATAGAAGGGGAAGGGAAAAGAAGTTGAGGCTGAGAGAGTCTATTGATCGTGGTGCCGGTAGCCCAATAGGTGCTGCTTATGGCATAATTTCTTATGTTTTTTTGCTATTTCTTTTGGTGGTGCGAATTACTACTAGTACATTCCAACATACCATTCCGAACCTGGTCGAATAATGAATCTCAATTATAATACGATCTTACAAGTAATGCAGCGCATTAAAGGCGATCTGTGCAGCTGCACGCCAAAAGTGTTGGGCACGCGGTACCCGCCTGCCCGATATTGTACCGCAATGGAAATTGTAGTAGCCATTATAGGAAAAACCTCCCCAAAGCACCATTTGTCCAGCAGCCATATGCATAGACATCTATCATAGGTGTTGTCAAACTTATAGGTGAATCAGGATCATATATCCAGACTTGATATCTTGTGCAGATCTAAAACCGGTCCGGTGGCCTACGGTACTAGTAACGTATCATAACTTTTGCACAATTGCCCTACTGCCTCACCAAAGTTTATATGATACAGCAAACCGGATACCCCCCGCCCCGCCACGCCCCGCCGCGTCCATTCATTTATTCATTCGTCTGTAATAGCCATCCATCCACTACTTCTTCTTCCCGCCCTTGATATCCTCCTCATCAGCATTATACCTGAGAACGTCCATCAAACTACCCGCCGCGGCATCCTTCCCGACAGCGTCCGACTCAAGTTCCTTCTCGATCTCCAGAGCATCTTGCATGTCGAATCCATGACCATACTTGTTTCTGAATGCCTTCAGCTTCCCCGCCTCGTCCTCCTCGAGCCCCATTACCGCTGCGTCGCTCTCGTTCCACAGAGGGTGGTTTCTCGTGTCTTTTGTGGTACGGAAGACGCCGCGGGGGGAGGTGGTCATCTGTTTGAACGAGCTACCGTCCGTCAGGATTATGAGTTGGTCGAATTGGTGAGGACGTTTGGGCCGGCGGAGGAGGGTCGCATTGCGTGTAGCTGTTCGTGGCAGTAGCTTTGAGGCGTTCGGAGGCGTGGGAATGCGGAGTAGGGGTTTCAATGAAATTGAGGACATGGTTGTGGCGGTAGGGTGGGTGATTCGGTGGGGATGAGCAGAAAAGGGGTGTGTGACGGGGCGAGCTTAATTTTTCTACTCGTATAGTGTGGCGGTAGTATGATATGTGGCTAGTAGGTCACGTGGGTAATAAATATCATACCACCCTTTCTCTTTAATGCACAACTCAACACCTTTTATCGTAGATAGGCGTTGCTTTTGGGTATCTAGATATACTAATCAAAACTCGAACAAGACATGAGACGATACACCCGACAACTCAATTTCTTCCTCCTAGCGACTATTAGATTAATTATTTGCCCCGCTTATACCTTGAGCCAAAGGTTGAGCACTCCTTTAGCATATTCTACAATTTCATCTCCGCCAAGTTTACTGTCACCATAGATACGGTCAACAAAGGAAATAGGTACCTCAGCAACTGAGTAACCAAGACCTCGGGCCCTAACCATCATTTCCTGTAGCCATAATTGTCAGCAACAGAACCACACCATACAGTGTAGAAGCCATACCATCTGGAAGGTATATCCCTTGCTCTCCGTCTGCGAGATGACTGTTTCTAAGACTTTCCTCTTGTAAAGTCGGAAGCTTCCAGTCAAGTCACTGACATTGGGCCTCAACACAACAGACGCAAGCAAGTTCGCTCCACGAGAAACGAGCTTTCTCTTGAAATCCCATCCATAAACTCCACCGTTGCCCGCATAACGGGTTCCGGTAACAATATCATAATCTTTCGTCTTTTGAAGTGCAATGAAATCGGCGATGAATTTAGGCTACAGTACATGTTAGCTTCCATTAAACTTTACCACGGTTATGTGATCTTACATGGTGGGAAAAGTCAGCGTCCATGATGATTACGAAGTTGCCAGTTGCGAACTGAAGTCCATGGACGTATGCAGTTCCGAGACCCAGCTTTCCCGCGCGCGGTTTGAGGACAATGCGATCAGCTCCATAAACGGAGATCAGTTGCTTTGCAACCTCCTGGGTGCCATCTGGAGAAGCATCGTCGACGATAACAAGCTCCCAGTCTAGCTTGCTATTGTTCGCGTATTGTTAGAGAAACTGCCGGTCAAGGCTTGAATTACAGGTAACAAACTGTTCGGTAAAGGTCTTCTCCAGAAGCCAAGTAACAACAGGCAGGTTCTTGCGCTCGTTGTAGGTAGGGAGAATGATGGTGTACTTGTCCTTGCGAGACTTTGTCGATTGACGGGGCGCCATTGTTTCGGGGTGTTTTTCTTCTGAAAAGAACAAGAAAAAGTGTCTAACGTTTGGAATTTGTAGGAACCAAAGAATACAATACGCAAAGGAGTGTCGGGGAGTTGGAGTTGGGTATTATGGCTGCTGGCTTGGGTGAAAGGAGCAGGGAGAAACAGGAGACGTGTGTAGTTCAGCCCTCCTGAGTCTTCCGTTATGATACTGTGTTACTGAAATTCAGTAGTGAATACAATGTCCGGGTAACATCTCTCGAGTAGAAAGTGGAACCTAGGCCGCCGCAACGGATGTCTCATCGAGGAAGGAAACATTCACCTTGTTACAACACTTCCCCCGGCTTTCTCTACTACACCATCCTTTCTGTTCAAAAACACTTAACCACATCCACTCGTTAGCCCGATCAGCCGAATCGCTATGGTCACTGCTGTGGCAGTTCCCCCGGCAGCCAGTGGCGCTTCTACGAAGCCAAAACAAAAGTTGAGCAAGAACCAGCTACGACGCGAGAAGAAAAAGCTGAGGAAGCAACAAAAGGCTTCACGAGGAGGGAGTGCGGTCACCGATTCCGAGACTGAATCTGTGAGTTTACTCTTAGCCATTCGAAAGGTGGCCCATAGAGAGAAAAGGAACATCGCTGACTAGTGTTCGATGCGATGATAGGAATCGGAGAGAGCTCCATCGAAGCAACTTTCGCTGGTTCCTGAGAGTACGCCCGAGTTCAACATTGGTGATTTAGAAATAGACGAAGATGATCCTAACTACGCCGAGTATAAAAGAATCCTTGAGCGGTTTAATGTTGATGACGTGAGTACCCTTTAACTATCATTATCCCACTCAAGTCACAGCTAAGGTGGGATCGCGTCGTAGGATCAAGCAAAGGAAGAAGCAAAGGGTGAAGTAATATACAACGACTACGACAACGTCCCCGATGAAGATGATGAAAAGGAGGAGGAAGAACAGAAGTTGAGCAAGAAAGCACGAAAAGCTAGGGACAAGCTTAGTGTAGCGGAGCTTAAGGTGTGTTGACAGCCCCCCACCCACCGCTTGTGTCTCTTCGAGATGGAAAGACCGCATAGACTTCTTAAATACCTCAAGTCGCAAGCCTAGAGTACGTACGTAAGGAAATATTATTTCCCACTATTTGCACGCATGCGACTATCGTATTTTAGACTGGTTCGGCTGTCGGGGCACACGGCGTGCTTGAGTGTCTATGGGGTGTATATTCTGTTTCGTTTTTATTTTATTCTTTGTATTTGCTAACACCATAGTTTTGATATAGGCACTCGTGAAGCGTCCAGAGACTGTTGAATGGACCGATACCTCAGCCCAAGACCCACGTCTACTTGTTCATCTAAAGTCTTACAGAAATTGTGTCCCCGTTCCGAATCATTGGTCACTCAAACGCGAATATCTCTCGTCCAAGCGCGGTATGGAGAAACCCCCCTTCGAACTCCCAAAATTTATCAAGGATACTGGAATCATGGAGATGCGCGATTCCGCAAAAGAGAAGGAGGACGCCCAGTCTTTGAAATCAAAGATGAGAGAGCGAGTCCAGCCAAAAATGGGCAAGCTTGATATAGATTATCAGAAGCTACATGACGCTTTCTTTAGATTCCAAACGAAGCCTCAATTGACCATGTATGGAGAGGTCTACTATGAAGGGAAAGAATACGAAACAAACTTGAAAGATAGGAGGCCAGGAGAACTGAGTGAGGAGCTGAAGGAAGCGTTGAACATTCCTCCAGGTGCTCCACCACCATGGCTTATCAATATGCAGCGGTTCGGCCCACCTCCCAGTTACCCAAGTCTCAAGATTCCTGGATTAAATGCTCCTATCCCGCCAGGAGCCCAGTGGGGATTTCATCCCGGTGGATATGGAAAACCTCCTACCGACGAATATAACAGACCCCTTTATGGTGATGTTTTTGGTGTTTTGCAATCTCAGGCGCCGGCGCAAACCGGTGAACCAATAGAGAAGACTCTATGGGGTGAGCTCGTACACGAAGAGGAAGATGAAGACGAGAGTGATGAGGATGAGGATGAGGACGAGGATCAAGAAGGTGATGATGATATCACCGAAGGCCTTACCACACCTAGTGGGATGGACACCCCCTCAGGAATGGTTTCGAGTGTTCCTAGCGAATTTGAGCCTGTTGATGGTGGGTTTGAGCTCAGGAAGCGGAGAGATGGAACAGAGACAGAGGAGGATTCCATTCAGAGGAATCTATACACTGTGCTGCCCGAACAGAGTATCCGTGCTAAGGGTTTCTTTGGAGGAGAGCGTGCTTACGACATTGGTAAAACTGGAAACTATACCAATTTGCCGGTACTTGGTCAAGAAGATCGAAAGGTATTTGTTTATATTCCTTCCTTAAGTATACCAGCTTCTAACCTAACTTACAGAGGAAGAAGCCCGGCGATATAGAGGTTGCCCTTGATCCTTCTGCACTGGAATTAGATGGCCTATCGAGTGAGGCGGTCAAAAAGCAGTACGAAGCCGCACAGGAGGCTCAGAGAAGAGAACGACAAGGCTTCCAAGAAGACTTGAGTGACATGATTGCGGCGGAGAGCCGGAAGAGACAAAAGCGTGAGGAGGAAAATGCGAAGAAAAAGAAGGATAAGTACAGATTTTAAAAGGCGCAACCCGACGGACGGGTGGGGTTCTTCCCTCTCTTTATTCTCGCATCCTTTTTTCCTTTTCTTCCTTTCTTCTGTAGTTATACCGGGTTCCGAAGTGGCAGCATAATTTAATATAGCCTAGCAGACTATTTCCACCTCTGCCCTATTTCTCTATAGTGCTGTACTTGCATGGGAGCAAGGGCCCCGGTTCTCGAGGGCGCGCTCGGGGTGCCTTCTGGGGTAGTCTAAAAGTAGAAATGCAACCGCCCAAATACAGTGTGATGACATTCATTAAAGTTGGTCGTGATCCTTGTCTACGATCAATCACTATCGTAATCGTATGGTCGCTCAGTATGCTTACCATACAAGCCACGCATATCCGCCACGAAGAGCCGAACGAAACGAGCCTCTGCCCTATGAAGAAAATTGACGGTACCCTCCACCCCCACCAACCCCGCAATCCCCCCAAAAAAACTTTTATGTCATCATAGGGCATTGTTCTATCCAAATTTTCATTCCGAGATAAATTTTATAGAGTGAGCTGCAAAGCGATATACATGTAACAACTGTGGTTATAGTGTTAAGACTTTGAGGAATCTTATTCCACAGGCACTAGAATCTGTTTCTGAAGGACAAATTTGGAGATATGCACAGAAGGTGGAGAGAATCATGGATACCTATCGAACTGGAGTCGAGTATGGTTCAAAAGACTTTCTCACTGCTGTAAAGCATCTGTACAAAAGTAACAGGTGTGTTTCTAAGATAGTTGAACTTGGTTAATTAAAAATAATACCAATGTACAATATAGTAATAATATATATCTTGGATTTTATCTTACATGAGGTTCACAATGTAAGTAATTCTTAAAATTATACCCTAATGCTGGGTTTTATGACAGTCACAGTGATGTCCTGGCAGAAGAAAAACTATGATACTTAGCCACGTAACACTCCTTCAGCCTTCTGTACATTTTGGATGGCACGCACCATACGGGAGAACACAGCTTCACCCATCTCCCCCCCTTTCCCACCACACCACCAACAGCAACAGCAAATCAAAATGCCCTCCACCCAAACCTACGAATCCCGCTCCCAAACGCACCCTACAGCAGCGGGACGCAAACTCCTACAAATAATGGCGCAAAAGCGCACAAACCTCTGCCTGTCGGTTGACCACACAGACCCGGAAAAGATCCTCGCACTGGTACGCCAACTCGGTCCCAAAATCTGCCTGCTGAAAACCCACATCGACATAATCGCCTTCCCCCCGACCACCGCCGCCTCTTCAATAAAATCCTTTACGACGAAGCTGCAGGAGCTATCCCGTGAGCACGCATTTATGATCTTTGAGGATCGCAAATTCGCCGACATCGGCAGCACGGTGCAGCACCAGTACCGCGGCGGCGTCTACGAGATCGCGAGTTGGGCCGATATAACCAACGCCCACGCGGTGCCCGGTCCGGGAATCATACGAGGGCTGAAGGAGGTCGCGGACGGGATCGGACAGCCACGTGGGCTGCTGCTGCTAGCCGAGATGAGCTCCAAAGGGAATCTGGGCGGCGGAGAGTACCAGCAGAGGACGCTGGCCATGGCTAGGGATAGGGAGTGGAGGGGGTTTGTCATGGGGTTTATTGCTATGAAGGAGGTTGGTGGGGGGGAGGAGGGGGAGGATTTTATCGTCATGACCCCCGGCGTTGGATTGCAGGTTGGGGGGGATGGGCTTGGACAGCAATATAGGACTCCAGAAGAGGTTGTCGGCAGGGATGGGTGCGATGTGGTTATCGTTGGGAGGGGGATTGTCGGCGCTGATGATCCAGTGGCCATTGCCGAGGTTTATAGGGAGAGGTCGTGGAGGGCTTATGAGGGGAGGGTTAAGAAGGGGCAATAGGCAGGAAGGCTGCTTGGATGTTTTTCTTCTTTTACTTCCCCCCCCTGTGAAAGCTCCTGGGGGCTAGAGAGAGATTCGCCATTACATCGTCCCACAGGTTCTTCCAATCGAGTGATTATTTGTGATGATGCTTATTCCCGCGGCCTCATTAACATCGTGAGGAAGCCGGGTCAGCTTTACTTATCATACATCATACTGTACCATCTATCGCACCTCTTCGTGGAACTCAAGTGCGCAAGGGGAAGAAGGAGAGGGAAAGTATGAACAAATTCTTGCAAAAATGAAAATGTCGAAGGAAAAACAGCCCTATGAAGCCTCTATCCTCACAAATTTCACCCTTTGTTGAAAATGGCAGTTAAATACCCGTAGATTGAAAATGCGGTGGTGTGTGTACCTCTCATATGAGGATGCGTAAGCAGTGAAAGGTTTTCACCTCTATGTTTCCTTTCTTTTCTCTTTCTCTGAAGTCAATCATCTCCACTCCTTACTTCCTGTACGAAACTCTCCTCGCTTCTCTTCTCTCTATTGTCTACACATACAATACAAGGTTCTCTCATCCTCATCAGGGCTATCTCCATCCACTGCGTAAAACCCTCCTTTTAGTCATTACCTCTGCAGCAGCCACTGGTTTTACCTCTTCCGTCTACCTCAATTTCCAACACCCTTAATTCGCCTACCATCCCGACCCAACGGGTTCGTAAACACGGATACAGCAACAAACTCACTACTTCACCATCAACTGAGTATATAAAACAACTCACCTCCCCCTACCACTACCACCACCACCAGGACGAGATGTCATCATCACGACACAAAGAAACCGGAACATGGAGAAATTAATTCCGGGGTCACTCGTGATGGCAAGCCAGACGGGGGACTGCAGCCACACAACAAATCACTCGAATCAGAAAATCACGAGATGGAGAGCCAGAATAAATTTGGTTCGGAATTTTTTTAAAAATAAGATAGTACAGACCCCATCCAGGGAGAGAAGTGAGCGTGTTAGGAATCGGCATAACTTGCCCGGGGCGAAACAATGAGTGAGATGAGAGGGAACGGCCGTAAAGACTTGCCACTGAGTGAGAAGGGGGAGAGAGGGAATGACTTTGGATGGATGAAGCGGGTAAAGGGAATCAGTCTATGGAAAGGTGTGAGTGAATGGGAGAAGGAGATGGGTCATTAATGCCGTCAGATGAGAAAATAGATGTGAGCGAGAGTGTGAAACGGGGATGAATGAGTAGGGCAGAATAGAAGCTGGGGGAGATAGAAAACACCTTGCTCTTTTTCATAGTCGACAGGACGTTACTCGCTCACCCCGAGACTGAACAAAGCGCAGTTCGCCAAACCAACAAGACAACGCAAGAAAGACTCTTCAAAAACTCAAAAGCCGAATTCACAAGAGGCAAATAGATGACACCCGACAACCCCCCCCTAAACCCACGTCATTGTTTTTTTCAATTTCCATTCCCGATATTCCATTCATTATAAGAGAAACCGATCAACAAAGCAAGCAAGCAATAGGAAGAAAGGAAAAGAGGTGCCATTCATCATCTGTGAAATTCTTGTTTTGTCCCGTTTTTGTGTAAAAAAGAGAAAAGAAAAAAGGACCCTTCCGCACTCCCGTCCCCCATCTACCGGTACCCAAGCAAGCATGTAGTGGAAAAAAATCAATCAAAATCAAATCAAAATCAAATCAAAAAAAAAACGGCACGTAATATTTTTGAAAAGGAGGAAAAAACCGTGATCGTGAGATTGTATGATTTGGTGAAAGAGCGCATATAAGGAAACGATGGAAGTGTAAAAAAATGTAAAAAAAATGGGGAAATCCTGCCTGTCTGGTATAGGCTTCTTTGTAGTAGCAGTTGTAGTAGGAACGTGTTATGGAAGGGAAAAAAGGGAAGAAAAGGGTTACATAACTTTTGCTTTATCGTGTAGTAGGTAGGAAACAAAGAAAGAAGGGGGGGAAGTCGATTTCAAGGGTGGATGATAAGCACTTTGTGGGTAGAGTAGTACTCGAGCAGCAGCAATAGAAGTGTAGGGTAGAGTAGAGTAGAGATACGTGAGCGTGAACGTATACCGTTAAATATCGAGTACAATGCGTGCGTATAGATAGGTATGGGGGTATGAGCAGGGTATGGATAGATATGATGGCGGTACGAGCCAGCCTGACTGAATAATAACAGGAACGAGAGAAGGTACAGTACGTACTATGATGGAGAATAAAGAAAAAATCAAAGAGATATATAAGGATGAACATTTTCTTGCCGCAAAAAAAGAAAGAAATCCATCACAACCTTAATACCCACCCCGTTTATGTCGAACGTTAAAAGCAAAAGTAATAAAATCAGACAAGTGAGGAAATTAAAAAAAAAAAAACGCCGGTTCTCGATTTCCAATTTATCTTTCCCCCATTTGCGAATATTCCAGAGCAGAGTATAATAGAACAAAAAGATAGACAAGACTAAAGACAAAAAGGGGGTTTTCCAGCTGGCAGGTAGATGGATAGCTAGAGGTCCGAAGAAAAAGACAATTTCTCTTTCTGCAAAAGATGAAAGCGAGTTAAAAAGCAAGAAAATATACCCCTAAGTGTAAGAAACAGCAGAAATGATATTTTAGGAAATAGATGGCGGGAACGATAAAAAAAAATTACACTAACTCCCTGCTTTCAACCTAGAAAAAGATAAAAAAGAGTAAAAAGGAAATAAGGAATACTAAAATATCCTTGTTTATTCTAATGGGAGCCGAGAGAGAGGCTCTGTAAAGAAGCCATCCATGCGTCGTTTCCGCCGTTGGGATGGCTGTCGAGATTGTTGCCCACGTTCTGGCTATGGTGTCCGTTCGAGTTGGCATTTATGTAGGGTAAATTATTATATCCATTCAATTGCTGCTGCGGAAGATGGCTGAAATCCTGATGAGGTGCAACTGATGCGTGGGGGGAATGGCGGGGCGGGAAGTTGGCCGAGATTTGCTGTCCGCGGTGAGACATCGCCGAGGACCCAGGTCCGTTTGAATGAACGTATCCTGAATAAGATGGGTTATGACCCGAGTACTGGGACTGGTGCATAATCTGATTCTGCAGTTCGTTGGACTCTCCGATTGCCCCAAGGGCTCCCGACCCAGGAGGCCCGGATCCAGGAGGCCCAGATCCAGGAGGATGAAGACCAGCAGGGTGAGCAAACGAGGCCGGGTTCATAGCCGACATCCAAATGCGAGTTTTATAGACTTTGAAAAGATCGGTGACCAGCGAGTTAAAGTTGATATACGAATCAGCAAAGTAGTAAAAAGTCAATTTCTTCCAGTCCCTAATCCGAAATGTCAGTATCCGATCACAATACGATAAAAGGAAGCGTACATCTGGAATTCTGCGTCAAGAATCTCCATGGGAAGTCTATGTTCCAAGACCTTCTGTTGGCAAACTCTCTTGGCCTTCGCCTCATTCGCTTCTTTATCTCTCAAGGTCTGGATTTCGTGCACTTGAGCTAGCCTCTTGATCATCTTAGGCTTCAGCTCCGCAGTGGCGCCGTCCTGGCCTTGCATTTGCCCGTGCGCGCCAGGCATGGCTCCAGTCGCACCCCCGTTGGCAAAGCCCGTGCCATTGCCGTTAACACCATTGTGAAGTCCTCCAGCTGGCGGAGCACCCGAAGCAGGGGCTCTTCTTGAAGCAAACATCATCAGCCAAGTATATTGTTCCTTCGCATGCTCCTCCTTGAGCTCCTTCGCCTCCTGCCAGGTGATATTTTCGGCTGCCACGGTACCAAGATCAGTGCCTCGATCTGCTTCGACAATCACCAAGTCACCAGCGCGAACACGTAGCCCAGTGCCTTCCTGAACATAAAAAACGTCCCCCCGGCAGGCTTTAAATGTCACGAAATACAATAGTTGCTGGCTCCTAGGTTGCTGCGCATGGTGAGAACCAATACCCATCATCCCACGATGAGGGATACCTAAAGGGGGAGATGGGAGCCTCGTGGGGGCAGTGTATGCCTGCTGCAGGTGCTGCAGATGGAGTTGGCCTGGAGGAGTGATGGACGAAGGCACGGGTGCTTTGCTCACTGGGAAACTCTGCCGTTGACGAAGGCGTGCTTCGTCGAGGTAAAAGTTGTCTTCATGGCGATTAGCCCGAAATTGATGGGGAACAATTGGAAGGGAACGAGTATTACCTCTGTTTGCGAGGCCAGCCAATCCATTCTCCCCGTATTTGGGTGGGCTGACATTTCTCTTCGCCAGGAGTTCACTGCCCGCAATATTGTACTCCTTGTCGGGTGCGTCATTTCATAGGTAATCCCTCCGCAAAAAGAGTGCTTTCGGCTTTGACCTCCCTGATTCTATCCCTGCAAAATGGCCCGCAGTTTGCCAATGTTGCCTCCTAAGTTTCTCCAACCGCTGGTTCTCGGCCGGCGAATACATCAAGCTCATTGATCTCTGGGGCGCTTCGCTAAACCTGCGTCCGTCTGCCTGCTGAGCCTGGAAGTGGTGGTAATCTAGCTCGTCGTCATCCGCAAGCGCTGATTCGTACTCTTCGCCAGAGAAATTCCGTTCGCCGTCTCGGCCACCGTTCAAGCCGATAGGCGCAAGACCAACAAGTCCGGCAGCAAGAGGAACACTAGCAGTTGAAGCAGAGCGGTTTCTCAATCTCATGGACTCATACCTCGATCTTATGAAATTAGCCTGTTGAATTGTACCCGCACCACCGGTTTGCTGCAAGTACCCGGCATGCAACCCGGACGGCTCCCTGGCACGGTTAAGCTCAGCGTTATTAGCATCATCATCCTCGGCTTCAAAAACACTTCTGAGAGGGCTGGATTGTCCGGCATATTGTTCCTCAGAGAGCAAGCTAGGCCGAGAAGGTCTGTGTTGGAGTCCTGACGGTGGATGTGGCCTTGGTCCATTTCCAATAGCGGGGGGAGACAACCTGGGACGTTCATCCAGATCACGGGGCAACTGGCCAACGGAAAATGACATGGACCTATAGTTCCGGAGTTGTGGCTGGAGCGGAATTGGGATAGGGAAATCTCCAGTGTTAGGTGTCATGCTAGTGGGGCTCGGGAGAGCTTCACTTCCAACAAATAGAGGGCTTTGGGTGGAACCTGGAACAACGGCAGAATGCTGGACATTTAGGGGTTTAGGAGGGCTTTTCCTTGACGGTTCCGAATTCCAAATGGATCCCCAAATCGGAGCTAATGATTGGCCGGCTGCTGTTGGTCCAACACTTCCGGGAGAAATCCCAGCGGCCCAGGCGGTAGTATCACCTTGGGGGGCGGATGGATGGGAAGAGGTAGGTGAGAGAGGGCCACCCCCAACCATAGAGTAGTTCCTAGGGCGATTCTGGAATTCGGCCGCGTAAGAAGGACGTCGAGAAGAGAGGGCAGAAAGCGCGCTATTCTTGTGCTGTGAGAAGTAAGAAAGTTCCTTCTGTTCAAGCTCATCGTCAGAAGACACCAAGGCATCAGAATCAGGAGAAGCATGTCGAGGTTTATTAGAGTCATCAATGAGCGATGGAGGAGAGGTTTTGCCCAGTGGATTAAAAGGGCCCGCTGTCGCTGTCGCCTGGTTAACACCACTCGTGCCAGCAGGTGGGGTCTGATCAAGGGAATTCCGAGGAGAATCAATGGAAGAGATGTCGCTCAAACGAGGAGTACTGGCTGAAGGAATGTCAGACATGATGTCGCGATTGTGCGGGCCTTCAAAGCCGCTCGCTCGGTAAGATGATAACTGCGTCGTGTAGTGGCTTGTCGAGGAATCCTTCGCTACAGGAGGATGTGAAAGAACGATATCTTCGTTCGTTTCTTCTAACGGGCGAATGAACGGTGGGTTGCTGTAACCAATCTGGTCCTCTAAACTGTAGAGCGGACGATTCTATGAATTGCGAAACAAAACACGCGTGAGCTAAGAATCCGCGGAAGCTCGGGGGTATCTAAGACAAGCGCTCTCACTCACTTTCTGCATGCGGTCCTGTGGATAATGAAACGCGAAATTTTTCCAGCGACCGCCACACAGTACGGAAAAGGTACAGTGGAAAATGAAATAAAAAAAAACGACGCTACAAGTATGAACAAAAAGGTGCCAACCGCACGCAACTGAAGAAGAGGTAGGTGGTGGTGGAGGTGGTGTGGTGGGCGAATTGAAAAACACAAAAGGCAGAGAGGAAGAAAGAGAGAAAGAGCTTGTTGCTGAATTGGGAGTCGTTACAACTTGCTCGAGTGAGATAAGGTTTCTGGGGGGAGGAGGCGAGTCAGCTGAGTGCACCACAGACGAAAGGCGCGCTGTTGCGTCAAAAAAAATCGGTAGTACCGGGCAAGAAAGGAACGACGAGAAAGTATCACCGATGCTGTGACGGAGTCTCTTTCGGGCTAACAGATCGTCACAAAAAAATCAGTATGAAGCTTCAGTAAAGTTGCGATAGAATTTTTTTTTTTTTTTTTTTTTTCTCTAGGATAGTCTCGTTTGGGAAGCTCTGGAGACCCTGGGGTGAGGCTCACCTAGTCGGGAGCAAGCCGTGAAATTGGCGGCAGCCTACTGACAGCCTTGCCGAAGGCCGAAACAGAAAGCGGAGAGGAGGAGGAAGGAAGGCAAAGAAGAAATAAATAGGGAAATCCAAATTAAGGCAAGCTGGGAAACAAAAAAGTATTCGGTTTACTAGTTATGACGATGACGGGGAGAGGAATTCGTTAGGATTGTGAGGTGATAGAAGGATCCGTAGGAAATGCCGAAAGACAACGAATGCTCTATAATTATTGGAGGAGGAGAGAAAGAGGGAGGTAGGAACAGGGGAGAGAGAGAGCCTTTTCGACGTTTTGTCCGCTAGTTGGCAAAGTCCATGGTGCAAGCGCCGGCAAGAGTAGGGGTGGATGCGAAAACGAGGAACGAGCGGGAGACGTGATGTGATTAAAGGCAATGATTGACGATAAATGATTGTTGACCACAGGAAGGGGGGGAGGGGGGTGTGGAGGGGTGTTGATTGATTGATTGATTGATGATTGAATAGTTAAGCCTTGTAAATTGTTACAGCAGTTGACGGTTACGGACTGTTGCAGAGCCCCTTCTTGTTCTCTCTCCGACTGACTTGTTTCTTGAAGGAAATGGATGTCAATGGTGATATTATAGAGAAAGATGCCTTTCACGGCGATGAATGAAGCTCTAGTGAGAGCAATGGGCGACTGACGACAAGCGTGAGTGATGATGGTTTCAGACTTTTTGTACGCTTATACTTCACGTT